ATATCGGGTTTGCTGTAGTGTGTTTATTAATATTCGCAGATGGGTGGGTCTGTGATGTTAAGGGGTGGAAGAAATTATAACAGTCACGTGTTGTTATTACGAATGTGTAGTGTATACCTAGCTGTATTATAGATGAAGGCTATATTTGTTTTTGTGGTTGATTAATTTGAATCTTTATTTTCTTAGTAATAAATTCGAAAATATATTTCATTTTCTTTGATGTTACAACCTTTTTTATATTTGATGGGTCGATGTGTGGCCACTATCTCGCCTGACTGAAGCGACGACGCGGCCTACGATGGAGCACGACTACCCACGAAGAACCTATTCACTCGGGCCTCGGAGATACCCAAGATAACTTTGGTATCTTCTTTGACGAAGAGAGATTCTGGCAAAGAATCCCACTGCTTAGCAGTTCGCACAAGGAAGCTTGAACCTAACAATTTTGAAGAAAGATCTCTTTATCTGGAAGTAGGTAACTATTTTTCTTTAAAGCTCCTAGTACTTTCGTAAATGTATTTAGTTAATTTAAATAATATCATATCATAGTTAATTAATGGTATATAATTGTTTAATCTTATACATGATCTTATTAACCCCACTTATAGTATATTACACTACGTCCTCTACCTGCTTATCAATACCAGCACTAGTGATATATGTGACGTCACAACACATTATTATTCGAACCATTTTATTAATCTTTGTAAATCGTCGATAAAGTCACCGACAGCGAACATTTTTATGGCTCCAAGGATAGAAGGTACACCCTGTACGATAATATTGCTATTTATTACCTCTATAGGTATTTCTCTTGCAGATCGTGTTTGAGTTTTGGGTATATTTACGAAGGTTCTTAGTCATGTTTATTATTTTTTTGAGAGGTAAAATGGTGAACTGTCTTGTTTAGTGATCGAAGAATGATTTGTGAGTTAGAGGAATATGCTATGAGAAGTCTTTTGGTAGGCATTGTTTTTAACAATTCTTTGAAGCTCAGGTATTTGTATGATAACTATGAAGACTGCCTGATGATGAATTTGATGAGCAGAATACAGGATTTATAAGAAACTCTCTGATAAAAAGCGTTTGTCGCATCCAAATGTAATAAATATATAAACATTTGAACTTGCACATGAACCTCAAATTATTTTGCTATGGAACGTAATTATACTTTGTTTTTATAATAACTATCGTGAGAAATACTAAATTAACTAAAATCGCGGGTTACTCACGTGAATATACTGAAAAAAGCTCTACTAGTTTCGAACCACACAGAAGGGTTCTTCCTAAAGTAACCCGCGATTTTAGTTAACGTAATTATACCTGCTGTTAAAAATGTCATCCACTTTACTTTAGTATCGAGCCTATAACTCGATTATAGGCTCTCCTTTTATAATTAAAAAAATTAGGTTGTCCCTCACTAGGATTTTTTCCTGTGCCGTTGTTGCGTTTAAAAACATATATTATTACATCCACATATCACCAAGACCCGAAACAACAATCAGTGGATCACACAAAGAGTTATTCCGTGCGGAAATCGAACTTAAACATAACTGGCTGGACGTGCATGTGGTATAGAATTTTATATGATAAATATTTATCATGTTTACTAAGTTTGTAGATTCAAAGCTGTCAAGTAACAGTCATTATGAGGCAGGGGAATATAACATTTTACTTCTTCGACCCAATTATTCTTCAACTAGCTTTTACCCGCGACTTCGCTCGCGTCACAAAAGAATAAAAAATAGCCTATGTGACATATGCCAATACACACAGCGCCATCTATACCAAAACTTTTATTTTTCCTCGGGAATATCAATTTTTCCGGGTTAAAAGGTACCCTATTATTTAATCCGGACTTCTAACTTTACGTCTGCAATAATTTAAAGCAATCGGTTGAGTAGTTACGGCGTGAAGGTGGAACAAACAAACTCACTTTCAGATTTATCATATTAGTAAGGATTTTCGTCAATCCCCAATCCTTAAATGTAAATAAGTTGGCAACGCATTTTTAATGCCTCTAGTGTTACATTAGGTGTCCATAGACGGCGCCGATTGCTTACCTTTGGGCGATCAGTCTGCTCTGTCGCACTATCTCATAAAAAAACGACACATAATATAATTAAAAACCAGGTCATATTGAAGATCAAAAGACCGTAGCATATATGGAGCGTATTTACTGAACTACGTAGCATAGAACCGAGTATAATTCTGAGGCACAAACCACATTCCGTTCAACACAAGTACCAGACGTTGTATATCTTAGTGACGCAAGTCGAATATATGTTTATGTACGACCCTGGAGCCAGGCGAAGATGTTTATAACCCTGTTTATTGTCGACCCTACCCGGATAAAGGTTTAAGTAAAACTTCGAAGTATCTATGATTAGATGTTTCATTAGCCAGTCATTGTATCGTTGTAGTAGTTGTTTGATCTTGTTTGTGTTTTTACTTTGGTTGTGGTAAGATTTTTCAGTGGTTGTATATTTGTTGTAAATATTGGGGGTAGATTGCAATGATTTTTTGACTGCACGGTTAGTGCAGCGGCTGGGCAACCGGCTGCCATGCAACGTGTTGCGGGTTCGGAACAACACTTTGTGTGATCCAAAAATTGTCTGGGTGCATTTTTCTGTTGGGTCTGGGTGTCATTGTGTATGTGAACTTGTATGTAATCGCACCCACGACACAGGAGAAAATCCTAATGTGGGGGCTACGTTTATAAAAAGAGAGGATAAAAATTGATTTCATTGCACGATTGTCACATTGTATGAAAAATCTCAATAACTGCCTCGTTAGCCGAGTAGACGCAATTGCGACTAGGATCTCGGGTTCGATTTCCGGGTCGACAAAACATTTTTGATTAACAAAAAATTCTTAGTAGAAGCACGGAGTTCGTAATTGTGCTCGGTATAGGGCAATAGGCTCACCCTCTATTACATGGGACTGATAACATAAATAGTAAAAACTGGGTGTTACATTGTACAGATGAGAGGCATCAAGTGCCGTAATGTGTAACTTCTGCCTACCCCTTCTGGGATAGAAGGCATGATATTAGGTTATGTTATGAAGAATCCCAATAACTCTTTGTCTGATTTGGGAACTGAACCTGAAACCATTTGCTTAATAGTCGCTCTTCTGACTACATGACTAACGATGTAGTTAATTATCAGTTGTATGTAATTTAAAGCTCTATTCCAGCCCCTATAGGCTTTTACTAAGAATTATATATGTCGTAAGCGAGTTTTTCATAAACGATGATTAATTTAATGCTCGAAATAACATTTTTAGCAAAAAACACCCAGTAAAGCAGACTAAACAAGTTTGCTCAGTCTAATTTCATGAATATAATTACGTTAAACATCTAAAAAGTAATTGAGTTTTGTCCAATTAATTTTAAATACTACACAAACTAGATTTTCGTAGCTACTATTCAACTAATTAATCATCGTCTAACAAAAACACTGTTTTTATATTTTTTGTCCCAGTAATGAATCATGTTGTTTTTTAATTTTGATGAGACAAAATTACATTTAATTATAATTATTATTACACCTATTTAGTAATTTTATATACACTAGGTGCTCCATTGTAGGTCGTATCATCGCTTACCACCAAGCAAAATAGTGGCCAAATGTCGGCTTATCGATTTTTATTCGGAGATTTCATTTTACCTAAGACTTGGTATGTCGTGGTGGCCCGGAGGTTTGACACCCGCTTCTCATGAATGAGGGTGCGGGTTCGAAACCTACCAATGGCAAGTACCAATGTGACTTTTTCCGAGTTATATGTACTTTCTAAGATTGTCTAGATACCACTGACAGACGGTGAAGGAAAACATCGTAAGATAACCTTATAAGTAGAAATTATAAGCCTGGGGAAATTATAACTTATAAGTAGAAATTTTAAGCCCGGGGGCTTATAATTTCTACTTATAAGTTTATAATCGCCAACCCGCATTGAGCTAGCGTGTTGATTAATGCACAAACCTTTTTCGTGTGAGAAGAGGCTTTGCTCAGCAGTGGGCATTTATAGGCTGTTGATGACGATGATGAAGATTTGGTATATATTTACTATTGAGCACATATCGGTTATCAGTTCTATGCGCTATGCCCCGCTCACTGACAATTCAGCTTGCTAGCCCACCCTGGTAAGCTCAGATTAGGAGTTCCAGCGTCAAGGTTGACAATGGACGTACTATACTATAGATGACCTGTGTTCGGTAGTGTACACTGGACGTTCTATAAATGATGATCTTTTGATGTACGTAACACTCAAATTCCTAACTCCAAAATTATGGCAAAGCATTTGATACATATCTTTTGTTTCGGATGTCCATGGACGTCACCGATTGCTTACCATCAGGCATCTGCTGATTTTCCAGCCTATATTAGAAAAATCATAACTGAAAATCCAATAATACTTTGACTCATTAAAGGTGCAGTATTAATATGTACTTAGTAAAAGTGAATATTCAATTACGGTCACTATTGGATTTGTGAAAGCAAAACTCTGTTAAGCCAAATAGAAAAATGCACCTTAGTGCTTCTAGCTCACGTTCACGAAAGCAAACAGTTGAATGAATAGCGAGCACTCACGTTCGGGTATACATATAAATAAGCTGACTCAAAACATATTTTCTCATATGTATGGTTTAGTTGAGATAGCTCACAATACTGCTCTGCATGAATTTCTGAGTGCTTTTGTACATTCTAACGAAACTCGAACACTTTTCTTACTGGTCTCCTAATTTTTTATCCTACATCGTCTACTGAAAGAGTGTCTGGCAGATATTATGTGTTTGTTGGATAGGATAAATAATACGATGACACAAATAAGTATGATACAATTGATTTTATTCGATAATCATATTCCAATTTCGGAGAAAATCGATAACATTCCTAAAAAAAATCTCGACGCCCTCATAGTACAATAGTATTTACAACCATACAATTACACACACACTTTTAATCCTGTAATGCAGAGTCAGATGGGATTAACCGTCACACTCTCATTTCGTCAATGGCGGCTTGCGGGAGGTTCGAGTGAAGGGAGGCCTTCCCTCTTCGCAGGGTTGCGTGTGCCCCCCTCGCCTCCGCCTCCCTCCCCGGGGAGTTCTGAGCCGTCGATCCGTTCGGAGGCTGGAATTTCTGTTGCCGTAACTCTTGCAAAGGCGGTGAGTTATTAAACTGGCTCAAATTCTTTGGCATAGTCGCGTAACCCATCTGCGGGTAGCTCACGTTAGGTATTCTAAAACTGTTGCTTCTGCTCCCGAGTTTACTTGGCAACATCATGTTGTCCATGCTTAGCGTAGGACTCGGTGGAGACTTGGGAACATCCAACGGTCCCTTGAAGTTTAAATTCGCGATATGGTCTGAACTCATCATATGCTTCTTCCTATTTTGTCTTTCAACGTCCACCACTAAACTTGGAGCATGAGTTGGATCCATGTGATAATGCGAATGCTTTCCAGAAATAGTCTCAAAATGTTTTTCATTAAACCGCTGCTGTTTACCACGAGATCTAGACTTATCTCTCTGATAATAAACTCCAGCGAAAATTAGGACGTTCAAAATCAGTAGGGAGCACCCTATTGCTATTGTTACACTTAAAGCCGTCGAATACGCGGCGTAGCCGGCCGCTTCTAAATTAGCCAGAGTGTTTTCAGTAGCGTTCAATGTTTGCAGATCTCTTCCCGGCAGTATTGTGGCGCACGTCGCCAGTATCGTATCAACAGTCGTTAGGGCTGTGTCGGTATACACTGAACCGTTAGTTCGTCTGATTGCATCATTATCGTTGATGTTTCTCGCCAATGGATCCGGTCTGACGATGCCTTCGTACAGATCCTGCTCGTTGTGGTTTTTGAATAGATTGTGGCGTGCGGCTACGTCTTCCATCCCGGCTCTGTGGAGTTCAGGAACTAAGCGAAGCCAAACGGAAAGTTGGTGTGCTCGGTAGTGGTTCTTGAGGCGAGGTTTCATACCTGCACAAACAATTTAACATTAAAGTTAAACTACAAAGAGCACATTATACAAGATGTTAACATTTCTCGAATGTAGCAGTCATAACCGTTAACCTTTGTGAGGAAGTATACTATTTATGGACTGTAATATTCAGTAAATAACACACATATTTGGACAATCTAAAATGTTTTAAATTTTCAAGATATAATTATGTGCACAGATTATTTAAATAACATATCAATTTGTTTCACTGGGTTCCTAAATTAATACGCTTAAACAGCCTAAATTATTATTCATTTCATAACACAAAATGTTGTTTCGTCTGAATAGTTAGGATTTTAAACTTTCACCATTAACGTGTAGAATTCAGACAACGTATATAGTTTTACTGCAAAACTTTTCTCAATGTTGGCTTTGAACAAATTAACGTGTGTTTTTCTCGTCATTAAACGTAAGTGGCTCCACAGCTACAGATGTAGGAACTAATGTAGCGATATCTTTGTGGTAATGATATGAAACTGCAATTATACTGTTTACATTTAGAACTGTATGCGTTGCAGCTTAGGAAATTATGCCTTTGATATCGTCTGTTTATTTAATTGAAGCGAAACAAGTTTATTTTAGCGTCATACACATACAAGTTTAATTAGTAATGTAAATATTTATATTGATATCGTTAGAATTCTTAGATATGAAACTGTTGTATGTAAAAAAGAAAGAGGAGGTATCATGGTTTACAAATAAAAATGCCTTTAAGTGAAACCTAAAGGTACAGGTAAGAGTTTAGGTGCTCCTTCATGGTAAGTAACTCTTAGTTAAGATATGGTTTAAGGACATATTTATTATAGTATTGAGTTATTTAGGAATATACCTTTTTTTAAAGTGTAAATATTTAAGTTTTTAGTTATTTGTATTTATAATATTAATATTAATAGTCAATCCAATGATAAAGTTATAAAATAATGAAGTATCTTAATTAAAAATGGACATAAGTCTTCCTACATAGCTTCTACAATTTTATTCCCAAAAATACCATAGCAAAACTTACCTATTTCCAAGTATTTTTGGTGTGTGGAGTCGTATTCTTCCCAATTTATACCTCTGAATTTATTTCTCTCTCTCGACGCTGGCAGCAGGGACTCTTGTCGCGCGTTGTCGTTGGGGTTTCTGTAACGACAATAATCTTTAATCTTTGTTGAGAAATTGTAAAAGGTAAGTTTAGTAAGGTTGAATTCATGTCATTATCCCATTTTGGTGTTTACGTTCAATGTGCAAACTGTCAAAATTGTATAAATCTCAATATGTTTGCTGTTTAATTAAAATGGAATGGTTTTGTTAGTATTAGTCTTGTGGTGAGTATAGCTTATAGTGGATAAAATCAAAAACATACATACATATATGTATAACATCACACCTTTTATCCCCAAAGGGGTGGGCAGAGGTGCACATTATGTCACTGTACAATGTAACACCTACTTTTTACAATTTATGTTATGAGTCCCGTGTAATAGGGGGTGAGCCTATTGCCATATACCGGGCTCAATTCGAAACTCTGTGGTACTATGAGGTGTTTTAAAAAACCCAGTAATACTTTGCCTGATTCGGGGATCAAACCCGATACCCCTTGCCCGGCAGTCGCAGTTGCGACCACTCAGCCAACGAGGGAGTCAAAAAACATAGAAATAGTTTAACCTGTAAGTATTCACTATGCTTAAAAACTCCGCTTGCAACCTACTGCATATTGTACATCCAATTACATGAATAAAGAATAAACATTTCATTAAAATGCATTTAATTTTATTTCTATGTAAATTTTTATTATGAACCACTACGAAAAACTACAAAACATAAAGTAGAATTTTTAATTTCAAGTACATTAAACACACATTCTTTTTAAAGCAAATAAACAAAATAATTTAAAATTCTTTACTTGTTAGCAAACTAAATAACGGGGCATACATATTATGTAAAAATCTCCGCTATATTTTATTTTACCCGCCAAGCTGTTTAAACCCTTGTACTGCTAAAAGCTTCGTCCAGTATAAATGAAAATAACACAGCTGATCTAGGGTTGTGGATATAAAAACAGGTAAAATTTTGAGAACGAACCGTTTCACCTTAAATCAAGAACTAAAATTCAGTGCAGTTAGTACCCCGTAATGATTATGACCCTTCCTAAATAACAGTAATTATTAAACACTCCCAAAAATTAAACGAATATAAAACACATAATTAAAGGGAGAGATTATCGTAAAACGACGTACAAAAGCACAGGCAAAGACAAAGATCAAAGTAATTTAAACCTTAATATCTAAAGCGCAAAGTTAAGACTTCTTTATAAGTTTCTTAACTTTGAAGAGCTATTAAATAGAAGTTCAGAATAAGACATTTAGGGCATCAAGTGGTCCTTATACCTTTATTAATAAGGCTCACGTTACTATAGCAATTAGTGATGCTTTGAGTGAACTTATGTTTCGCAATGGTTGAATCTTATTAAAGGTGACGTGGATTTGTGCACCTTTGGCTTGGTGTAAAGATATTGCGAAGTTGAAGTTAGCGAAGAAAACTTGGCTTGACCTATTTTCTAAATTGCATTTTAGAGTTATGACTATATTAAAATTCATGGTTTGCCACGAGGTTTAAGAAGAATGAGGATTATGTTAGGAATGACATTCCCTTTGTCTGGGAAACTAATTTCGTGAATATTAAACGTTGATATTGTGCCGCGTATTTTGATTTTGAATAGAAACGTCTTACCAAAAATATTAGCTTATATTATGTTTGACAAAACTAATTTAGAGCCAAAGGTGAGGTTGGAAAATATTAATAATTATGCATTTAACTTGTAGCGAAAGAGTTCAAAATTAGATTTAAATTGATTTAATTTAACTCGTCGAGTACCGGTTTTATAGACACAATTAAAGAACAATAGGTCGCGGTCACCGGTGACCGCTTGGTGTTTGACAGTTTAAACAAGGAATATTTTTGACAGTTTTGACTTTGAGTCTTTGAAATAGTATAAAGAGAGTTTCCATTCCGACACCTTTTTTACCGCTTATATCTAAATTTTAGGGAAATGAAATTATTCTACAAAAACAAGGTTTTGGTAAATTCTTACCCAGTTTTCACAAAATTGGCCAGGAACAGCATAATGGATTCCGACAAAGCAACTTCAGACTTGGTGTAGTTCTGAGGGAAGTGACCGAACCCATCCACCAGAGGAGCCCCAAGGACGTAAGGCAACTCCTCGCCATGGACTGCTCCCATTCTCTGGAACAAAAAATAAAAATTAGTATTTAAATACAGAACTCATTCTTGATTCTTCTTTTTTCTATTCTTTTTTATTATTGCGACCATAATAGGGTGTTTTTCCTGTGAAGTGGGTACGTTTACAAATACACAATTTTACAACTATGTAGTTGGGCGCGAGCCTATTGCCATATACTGGGTATAAGTCCAGACCTCGTCGATTTTCCAAAATTCACAATTACCTAATAAGAAGCTAATAAAATTTTTGTCTACGAAGAATATCCAACACCTGGATATATAGTGGTCGTTAAACAAACGAAACTTATCACGAAAATTTATTTCATGGCTTTTTGGATAGATTCCAAGTCTGCTAGCTTGTTTTCCTGGCAGAAGGCAACTGCTGGAAGGTCAGTGAAGGTCAAGTTTGTAGCATTTAAATGATTCGACTCAATTTGTAATAAGAAAAGCATTGCGTCTTTTAGTCCCTAAAAGAGAAGGTATATGTGCGTCGGCATACAGGTATTATGGTATGCATAATACAATTTAACAAACACCCACATATTACTCATTATGTCAATGGCATATAATTAGGGATGAGCTTATTGCCATATACCGGACAAGATTCCAAACTCATCACTATTTTTAAGATTTAAAAAAAAACCACAATGATTTTCCTGACCCAGGGATCTATCATGAAGCACTCTGTAGACTGAAATCAGAGACATATATCTCAGTATTATCCATTTTTGATAATAAACATCTTTCAATTTCATTCTACAAAAAACCTTTTTGAATCTCCCAAACGCGTACCCCAAAAAATATCTTCCGAAGATCTCAATTTGTAAGAAGAAACGCAAACAAATTCCCGCAACAAAGTTTGGGCCTACGAAGAAAGATAATACGTAAAACATTTGATATTATCAGACATATTACAAGCGAGAATTACGTCAGGATTGTTCCAAGCCACGTAACATAGTAGTGACAAGATAATCTATCGGTTGTGAACACCGTTTTCCTTAACCACGACCTCAAAACTTTTCGAGGATAATCAGGGCGTACAATCACCATATATGTTCACGATATATATTTTTGATATATTTATTGGCATTTGTGTTAAAGAGGAAACATGTTGTATAACATCAAGATAAAAGATAAGGCATTTTTGCTATTCGATACGTCATTTGTTGAACGAAATTCGTTTCGGATTTAAGTCGAAGAACAAATCACTGTTTAGAAATCTTGAGACACAGAAAGAGATAGAGAAAAAAAATTATCCTGTATTATTACATCACACTACTTGCCTACATTAATCTATGTGTTGTAACTATTAAGGGATATCCTACTTTGGAGACCCAGAATAGAGCAATATATTGTATTACTAGCGACCCGCCCCGGCTTCGCACGGGTGCAATATGCATGTATTCAACATATAAACCTTCCTGAAGAATCACTCTATCTATTGAAAAAACCACATCAAAATCCGTTGCGTAGTTTTAAAGATCTAAGTATACATAGGTACAGACAGACGGCGGATAGCGACTTTGTTTTATACTATGTAGTGATAACTTTTATAAGACATACTTAATTAATTATTATGTTTTTCGGTTTCCTCACGTAACTTTTTGACGAAGAATTTGACTAGTTTCAAGCCATTCTAAAGGCATTAGCCTGCAGCATTGACAACGACAACGAACATGAAAAATATTTTAGCATTTAACTTAACAAAAAATACAATACCAACATCTAGTAAATTCTATCACATACAATAAACACTTGCCCGTCTACCCCTTCGAGGAACAAAAACGAAAGCCTAAGTAAATATAATTAAGTCCTAAAACAAACAGAACCAATAAATTGCTCTATTATAGTCACATATCAAAGAAGTAATCCAGATTTAATGGCTTAATTTTAGGCTGGGAGTATAAACGTAACCTTAATTACCCACGCAGCCATTTATTTACTTCTCTTTATCTTCTTACTTATTTAATTTTAAGGATTATATTGGTTGGTTTATTGTTTCGGATTATTTTTAATTTATTATTTAAGATATTATTGATTATTCTTAAGTGTGGGAGAGCTATCCTTCGGCACGAATTCGGTCGATCGCAGTGATACCACGGCCTCACAGAAAACCAACGTGAAACAACGCTTAACGCTTGCGTTGTTTCGTCGTGTGAGTGAGGTTGCCGGAGGACCAATTAACCCCTTCCCCTTCCCCAATCTCCCAAATCCCTGAATCTCCAACAACCCTCAAATCCCTAATTCCTAAACGGCCTTTAAAGCACTTGTAACACCTCTGCTGTTCCAGGTGTCAATGGGCGACGCCGATTGCTTACCATCAGGTGATATGTCTCTTCGTTTACCGACTTATGGTGTAACTAGCTTTTACCCGCGGCTTCGCTCGCGTCACAAAAGGATAAAAAGTAGCTTATGTGACATATACATACAGCGCCATCTATACCAATACTTTTGTTTTCCCTCGGGAATATCAAATTTTTCCGGGATAAAAAGTACCCTATTATTTAATCCGGACTTCTAACTTTACGTCTGCAAAAATTCAAAGCAATAGGTTTAGTAGTTATGGCGCGAAAGTGGAACAAACAAACAAACTCACTTTCCAATTTATAATATTAGTAAGGATTAATGTAGTGAGAGAATTTGCATGAAACCAAAAGAAGAAAGAAACGAAACTCTGTAATATTGTCTGCTGTATGGTGTACATGAAATGATAAATAAATAAGTTGTCTCGATATTTAATTTTGCAGTCGGCAATAGATAATGTATGTATAACGTTACATATAGAATAAAGTTAGGCGTTGCTTTGCGGAAATTTATGCTACACTATTACTAACTTATAGCTGATGCCTAGTACTGAAAGGATAAGTAGCAAAGAAAGGACAAGTAGAAAATCTTTATCAATTAGGACATACATTTTTCAAGGAAGAACACCGGCTGTTTTAGTTGCAATACCTCTACAACACGCCTTTTGATGGCAAGACCTTTCAAAATAAAGCAAAAGAAGAAGGCGACTCTATAAGATAGGAAACTACTGGAGAGACATCCTAGTGTCGGGCTATGTTTTATTAAAAAAAAAGAAAATGTAGAACAAACACTTTCGAATTCCAGAAAGTAATACCTCAAGCATGAAGGTAGTATATTGCAAAAGTCGGTGCACAGGTGCAGTAGTTGTCAACTGTCAAATAAGCAGATCCCAATGTTTTGCTACTCTCATAGAAACTATATAGCATAGCGGCAAGGTTTTGGTTTCGCAAGAATGCTATACTTGGAGTTTTCTGGCACATTTGTTAAATTGCTGTACCATACAATTCTTGTCCATATACCAAAGCTAGCCAAAAGCAGCCAAAATAAACAGATCTTTAACAATGAAGATATAATTAAACATCTCACTATATGTAATTTTTAGTTTTCATTATGCCAACTAAGTTCTCTAAATGATATCAGACAAAAATAAATACTCACTATACATTTCATCTGGAGATTGTTACTATAGTAAGGATGTTAATAATGTTTATTACAAAAGGATCATTTATTACCATAAATTATTTATTTTATTTATTTATTTATTTATTTATTTATTTATTTATCGGTTTATGCACAACACACAGACAGTACACAGGAGACAGATTATTCTGAGAAACAGCTAAAAGGTTGTACGTAAAATTTTATCAACTTCAAAACCGATAATTTAAAGTAACTGTATACATCAATTGGAATTTTCATTACGAACAATTCTCAGAATAGAAGCCAAAAATATCTCTTACCTACGTTCATTTAAGTCTCAATAAATTAACAAGTAATAATTGATCCCTACCAGAGTGCAAATTTAGAGACGCACAACGTACAGCAATTGTTCCATTTTCTTTAATACAAAGGCTACGTTAAATTTTTCTATAGTAAGCTGGCAAAAATAACGTTTGACCTTGAGTAGAAAATTTGGAGTAAAATAATTTTGTTACAGTTGCTATCTTACCTGAGGATAAAAACCGTCCTTGGTTTGATAGTCAAACACGTAGAAGAATGTTTTCGTAGGTCTTCGTGGACCATCTTCATCGTTCGGAGCCGGCTTTGGCCCTCCACTAAGAAGATCTCCACTTTGAACCAAAGGGGCCACGTACTGAGCATCCGATAAAGCTGCTACAGTCGCATCCCTCGTATTGATTGGATTCTGTGAACAAATATCTGCATCAGACATAGCAATATCTTCCAAATAAATCTAGTCAACTACAATAGAAATATCAGTCTCCAAATAAGATTCACTGTCTCACGCACGTCATTGAAATATGATAAATCTATGGTAATGGACTTGTGACCTTCAAATGTAATACACACAATAACCGTCCATATTACATACAGTATAGGATTCAGAATCACAATATTGTTCTCCAGAAATTGTTACCTCATTTAATTTCGGAAGCCCCGTCGAATATTTGAAGAAGTAATCCGAAATCAAATCTTGGAGATTGGGGTTCAACCGTTTGAGATTTAGGTTTTATATTCCTTTGGAATTGTTATTGAAGTCTTCAAAGTATAATTCATACTTCTGATAACTAATATCGTTAAGTGAGATATGATTGGACCCTGGCGTGAATTTTGAGAGAACGTCTTAGATTTTTCTTTTAAAATTTACGAGACAGTTGTTAATGTGTCACTGCTGGCATACTGCGCACCCACAACTTGTCAGCCAAATTAAATTTCTTGAATGGCAGTTACTTTTCATTTTGGTAGCACATAAACAATTCATTGAAACTGTTATGACAGTTTTCTTTAACAATTAGGATTTCAAGTTGAAATTCTCGAAAACAAAGATTAATAACAATCAGAAAAAAATTTAAAATGAGTTGAAATAATGAAAGAATTAGAAAAGCGATTCATCACTGCGAATAAAATTAATTAGGAACGTGACAAATCAGAGGAAATAACAGTTCAAAGACTTTTCGTTGAAGTTAAAGGTTAAACAATTAATTGTGAGTTGTCAACAGGATTAAGACCAACTCTGAATTTCAAAGCTAGGGACGCTAAATGCTTGGAATTTCTCGAATAAGGTATTGAGAGTACGAAAAGGCATTCTTGAAAGAGCAACATGAAACTGAAGGATCTGACAACAATATCTCTACGTTTATAGATAAACAAACCTCTACCGTTCTTTCCCAATCCGTGTACTCGTTGACGATTGTGTAGAATATCTCGCTCAAGTGGTAAGTGTAGGAGTTTCTCACGTATGTTCTGCAAAATAAACACTGTTTTAGTACTGAAGACAAATGCTAAAATCATTGTGTTCACATTTTTCAAGAACTTCGTTAGGTACAGTTACAATTTATTGTTTCCTTTTCTTCTACAGATATTTCAGATAACACAACAGACGTAAACAGCAAACTGTTTATGTAATACCCCTCTTAATGTTCGCATAAACATCTAATAATGTACCCACATGTTCTATATTTTGAGATTACACGTCAAGGCAGCTGTTTGAAATCTGTTTATAAATAAGATTATTAACGGACCGATGGGCTGACGGCTCGGTGACGTACCCCTTAAATTTAAAGGTGAGAACCCAACGACGCAGTAGTTGCGAAATGTGGTACAATTTTTCCGCGCGAGTGATTTTGAACGTTGTGCCGCCCAAGCATGGATGGAGCATGGTCAGCCGCTTTCGGTCGGTTTGGCTAAATCGTGTCAGTGTTTGACATGTGTGGATCCGTGACGGAAGGAACCATATGTTTCCCAATTATAGTTTTGAACTGAATTCTAATTCAGATATTTTTGCTTGCAGTTGTGGGATAAGTTTATTTTCTTTTGTATGAATGAATAACAGCCTAACTATTATTTTAATTATTAATGTTAACGGAAATGCTTATGAAGTAAAAGAAATTGTATTGAATTGGAACAAAACTAAGATAAAAACACCAGAAAATACGAAAATTACAAACGGTCCTAAGTAATTCGGTAAGAAAAACATTATTATTTCCGTGATTTCGTTTCCTGATATAACACAATCCCCTGCTGCTACAAAACTAATAATACCAATACAAAACTCATAAAAGTACCTACCTTAACATCCGATCCCTTTTATCTGGCTCAATCCCATTTTGCACATCATGAGCCGAGAATTTCCACAGCGCTTCACTGGTAACAACTCCGAACAACAAATCGTATTTATTTTGAAACAATCTCCTGCCGCTATCACTTCTTTTCTTATGAACATTTAGGTTAATATTCATGTTGTTTAGGGGCCCAAAACTTGGGAAATCTCCAGTGGAATACATAGTGAGGAAGTCTTTTGCAAAATCCGTCTTTATGACCACTCCATCAACTGAAGGTCCAAATGCAGTTAAAAAGTTGGGAGGGGATATGTCTGCTGACAGTAACTCTTCTATTGTCGCTTCCCTTAGGCAGTCCACTATTACTTCGTGATCTTTCGAGAGGTCATCCGGTATGCTACAATTCATATGTTTCGCTAGTTTCAGTGAATAGTACACTGGGTCGTCTACAATAGCCCACGAACTAAGTGCTGACCCGGATAAAAGGATCGCTCTATGGAATAAACCTGGAATCGAAATTTCGTTTATACTACACATACAAAAGGTATTATTTCTAAAGGTATTTGATAATACTATATTTTTCCTTTCAAGATTTGCGCCTAAAATGTATTGTTCATTTTTTCGACTCCTCAGAATTTGGTGGATTTGTAACTCTTGGATCCCTTTCTATGTGCTTATGAGAATGGATCAAGGCGTCTATAGAAACTATTGTTACTTGATCGGATTTATTTCTCGAATGTTCGAAGCAAGTGTTCTTATAATATTTTTTGATGTGATCTATATTGGGATTGAGACCTGTTCAATTATTTGCAGAAAAGAACGTTTCGGTTCAAAAGTTTTGAAAGAAAATATTTGATTGTTTGTGTTATTGCAAAAACTGCCTGGGCATATACATTAGGGAAATCAATTATCGACGTAATCATTTGAGCGAAAAACTCAATGTTTGTGTTTACCGAAACCAAAAAGAATAACAAAATAGAAATTGATAAAGTAATTGAAAAGTTTTCGTCCGAGATCGTTGTGAGTGTTCATAAATCTTTTCTTATTAAAACGAACCACCATAATATCACGTTTCCTTTAGAAATATAACGCTTAGTTTCAATATATTTTTACAGACTTAACTACTGCTGAAGTTTCTAGACTGATAGGAAATTCTGAATATTCATAGCTTCATTACAGCTTTCAGATTCATAGTAGCCTCTTGAAAATATGATCTTATAAAATATTCCATTTATGACTACATTCACTGATTTATTTCAACCTAGTTGCATACTTTAATAATATTAATCACATTTTATCAGACCAGACAGGTTTTTGGACAAAATTAAGGAAATATATCTCACCGGGCATAACAGTAGGTGATATCATGAGGAAGTTGATGCAAGCAGCCCCTGAACCGTGCCCCATTAGTGTTATGTTGGTTGGATCGCCTCCAAACAGGGCTATGTTCTGCTGCACCCAATGTAAGGCCGCTATCTGATCCATCAGGCCGTAGTTTGCAACCCTTGCTTTTAGATGCGGCGCCGGATTTGCGTTGAGAAAGCCTGCAAAAATTGGTACATTTAAACGGCTTGATTTTGGGCATTGTGCGCAGAAAGTACAGAGTCTAATGGAAATGTAATTACAGACTGCTTAAAGTTTTGCTTCGGCCGCATCTGTTAGTGTTACTTCGAAGTAAAATGTAGGTTAAACGACTGCACTACGCTCAGTATAGTTGTTGTTTCAGTCAGTGTATTTAAATAATTGTGTTTGTTTTTCTTAGACTAGGATTTTGGTAGCCTAGAAAACTTGGATTATATTACCTCTAACAAAATTTAAAAAACAGACTATAATTTAATTCTATATATACAGTCATAACTGCCACATGGCATTTGTATAAAACTAGTCGACCGACGACCACATCATTACCCTCTCACAAAACGATTGCTAACCAAATACCTAGAAATTTTATTCCCAATATATTTTTGCGTTCAAACTATCCTCAAGGGGCGGGATTAATTCAAACAGCGAGTAACGTTGAAATGAATTGAAATGAAACGAACGAAACACGTCTGTATCTACACGGCTCACGGAAAAAGCAACAAAATAAAATCACATTCATTACGCACGAATGTACTTTGAAAACTTTGTTTGGAATATTTTTGTGAAATGTGTACTATGGTGGACTTGTTTCAATTTTGTTTTAGTCACATCACACTGGTATAAAAATAGACTATGGTATCGCATTGAGATCCATGGTATAATAAATATAGAACTCAAAAAGAAAATACTGTGCCATACTGTCATTGCCTTCGATTTTCGTTATGGTAACGCATATAGTTGCAGGACCATTTTGAATGCTTCTAAGTTTTAACGAAAGTGGATTCAAGTCATCACCTTATATATATCACTGCTGAGTTAATGGGTACTCGGGTTAATTTCTAAACACTATGTATATATCATTGAGAGTCTTGTTGAAGGGAATGGACGTTACCCATAAAGTTCAATGGTAATTTTCACTAGAACTCGGGACATCAGGAACTGGAATAACAACTCTTTTTAACGTTTGTTTTGATTGTTCAATTGATTCAAGAAAGCAGAGAACGTAAACTATGTATATCAGCTACATTCTGCACAATTTGTTAGTCAACTGAGATGGATTAAGGCAAGTGCCTGGAGGCTACAGTCTGCCATTTGTTTTCTATTTATACAGAACTGTGATTCTACAGCTGCTACTGCTGAATGCAGAATTGCTTTTGTTTTGAATGTAAAACATGCTCTAGACAAATGGAGGAATTTTAATGGTAGATTTTATCCTTACTTTCTACTGCATCCTCGACGTGACTGTAAAATCTACATGCTTAATTGAATATGGAAATCTACACATAAGTATTAATACAAGCGATGTTTTTAAAAATGACCAAATTTTAAAGATTGTCAACTTCTAATCCAGACATAACAACATAACATAACATCACGCCTTTTATTGTTTTGTAAATACTTACATTTTATGCAAATAAATGATTTGATTTGATTTGATTTATCCCCGAAGCGGTTGGCAGAGGTGCACATTATGCCACTGTACAATGTAACACCCACTTTTCACTATTTATGTAATGAGTCCCATATAATAGGGGGTGAGCCTATTGCTATATACCGGGCATAATTCCAGACTCCGTGCTACTACTGAGATTTGTTTTAAACCCAGTAATAATTTGCCCTTCCTGGGAATCGAACCCGAGACTCCTTGCCTGGCAGTCGCACTTGCGAACACTCGACCAACGAGGCATAAATCATACCAAACTAATAAATGTCGGGCGCATACACTACTATCCATATTTGTTCGTGTATTTCTACACAATCACAACTTGATTGCCAATTGCTTCAAAAGTAACTGTAAATCGAAGCATATAAGCTGCAAATTGAATTTGCAGACAATTTCTGATATACTTTTTGAGTTCATCAGTGTATAAATGAAAATCAGACTGCGTGATTTAATTATTTTCAATACGAATGAAATAATTGCTATTAATTTGACGTATTATTATTTTCATGAATTTATTGAACTGTATTATTATCAATATCATTCATACTACTTATAAATTAGTTTTTATACTTTGAACTTAAATGTGAGTTGTAATACAATTTAAATTCGAAAACTCTAACCCTAGCCATCTCTAACAAAATTAGGGTTATTTTGCGAAAATAGTTTTCCTTCTACTAAAATTAATCTTCTTAGATTAGTTTTAATAAAGTTATTAATATGACCTAGATAAGTTAACGTTACGATGTTGAATAATTTACTTTTATTACTCTTTACTAATTTGATAGGAGCAGAGCAAAAAGACCGCAATGCGGCAGTATGTTAAAAAGATATAAACTGTAAGTGATTTTTTACGACTTTTGTTAAGCTATTGACATTATAACATAATGATTTGTTGACTGGAGGTAATTAATTTCTGTAACATTTTAATTTTAATGACAACAAACTCACGAGAGTCTTAGACGTGATCACTAAAATTTGTTACTACAGTAAAAAGTGCACACTAAGCCTTTAGAATGAATTACAGGAATTCACAGGGGATTATTTTGGATCCATATTTTTGCGCGTCATTAATATAAATATGATTAAGAACGTTGGTAGTAGTTTTTATTTATATAAAAAAATAAAATATTTTAAATGTTAAATGTGTTATATGTGAGAACATTATTAGCAATCATTACTTCACAACTAATCTAGGATCAAAAACAGCTAATAGACTGAAGTAACTTTATTCTAAGATGAGTAAGTATGAAAATAAAACTTGATTATATTTGAAGAATTCTTCCAACTTCGGTCGGGCGTTGAACTTTTCAAGTATTTCACGAAATAAGACGTCGACTTTATGACGTTCACTTAATTCACTTATTCAAATGAAGACGAATCTAAACTTTGTGTTGGACTCTTAAATTATGTAGACTTGATTTGTTTAAGTGGTTTAAAATTTGATTGTTTTGTTAAGATATTGTTGACGCAGGAACAAAAATGTCGCTCGGGCTTTTACGTTCGTTTTACTTTTCATGGCTTTTGGTCACAGAAAATGAAATATTAAGGTGATTCCAAATTATTTTTTTATATTTTATTGGCCATGTTTATATCTCGATTATTAGAGTATGAGTTACGGTTTTTATGAACATACTTTTTTTTGTGCTACTAAAGGTTGTTGTAAAACTGAAATGTATAAATGTAGTTTAGTCTCTTTTCTTATTTCTATTGTTAACTAAAAGTGAATCACAACTATTATAATAAAATTTATTACTAAGATGATCTGTAAAAACTTTTGTTATTTTAGTTGTCACATTAGTAGCTAGCCAGAAACACCATGTTCCTCTTTAATACCGTTTACAAGAATTCTTGTACAAGATTGAATTCTCAAAGTTCCTTGCATTCTTCCTGTAAGTGGCTTCCAAGACCCTAATTTTGTAGTCACAATAATCTAAATAGGAGCTCTATAGTGTGTTACAAACAACATCTAGAGGCAATTGTGAGCATAATTGAAGCAAATTATACGTTTTGCTTGTGGGATTAAGGACCATTTTGGCTACTTAGCTGTTGCTTTAGCTAAAACAGTTACGTTTAATTTGAAACGTTCACAGAACTAACTGCTTACTGAATTGTAATGAAAGGTCAAAAAATACTAACATTAAATTTTTTAACAAAATATCCTTTAATAATTATCCTATTTTAAATTATCTTGACAGGAGTAGGAAGGCGTGATGTTACTTTGTGTTTAGATGAAACTATACATTATTGATGGGGCAATAAAACCCTAAATCCAATGAAGATTTACGACCAACACTTACCAAGGACTCCAAGCCGAAAGTTCAAGGTCACGACGATGAGGTCTGTATAGCTGGCGAGTACAGCTCCATCGTATGGGTGACTGGAACTTGAGGAGTAGCTCTCACCATGGATGTACACCAGCACAGGCAATGCTAGTTTCGTTTCATCCACTAAAACAAAAATAAATTGTAAGTAGAGCAGAAATGAGTTTTTTTTACTAAATCCAAAAGTCGTACAACTCGCAAATACGAGATTTCAATTTGACAGGCATTTCTTGGAACTGAGTTCCCAAAACTCATTGGAAAGAGTTTGGTTAGAGACGGGCTGATATTGTGTCATAGATTATCACTTGATTGCCTATTTGGGTATATTTCACTTATGGCTAGAAAATAGAAAATATAGACTATAACTAGCAGTCACAAACATAACACAACAAAAATACGTTCCAAATAAAAATCATATTGTAAACCTTTTTTTAAATACAATAAATTAACCTTAAGTCATATATATCCAAGCTCGCATAGACCGCGAAAACTTTCCAAAAACACAACCCAACAAAACATCAAATAGCAAAGGCCTCATAATTGATAGCCTAAAATAAATATTGTTACTTTAAACAATGGGTTCGACTCTATTCATTAAATAATTCATTTTGCTAAAGAAACGGTAGTGGCAACAGATGTTTCTGAAGCCTATAATGAAGTCTATAGTGACGTAGCTACCCTTTGTACGGCAGCTATGAAAGGGATAGCGTTAAACTTTTATGATGATAATAGAAAATTGTTTGCCCCAGTTAAAATATTTGCTATTCACATCATAGAGTTTGTGATAGTTTATTAATATTAATGATTAGTTTATGACGTCACGATAAACAACTTTGTTTTGCTATCGAAGAGTCAAGTTTTATGTTTGATGGTCTAGTTTATATAGATGATAAGGCAAAATTCTGTTTGGGGTAAAGAAGTAAAATAAGACTTAAGTTTAGTATTGAATTTCATTTAAATATCTTCGCACTGTTTGCCATCGACAGGGAGTTCACGCTCACACATTGGAGCCAAAATGGCCCCGTATAGTTTCTCCCACGGACCTTCAGATTGTGCAATGAACTCCTTGCCGTAGTTATCCCAGTAAGCTACAACATGGGATTCTTCAAGAAGGAAGTAAATAGGGTTTTCAAGGGTCGGCAAGGCGAGTATAATACCCCAAGTGTTGCAAGTGGTCATAGGCCACAGTAACCGTTTACTATTAGGTGGGCCGTGTGTTTTTTTGCCACCGTAATGGTATATTTTTTTTTAATTTTAATTATTTCTCTTGCTTGAATATCAAAGTGCCCAATATACGTACAGTAACAATAATATGCAAGCAAGGGAATGTCAAGACATTTATTGTGCATTTTAGAATAAATGTATTGTGTAATACTCACTTTGCAATGGAGCAAATATGTTTAAATATAGGCAATCTTCACTTTGATTCTTAAGATAGGGAATCAGTCTTTTCATATATTCTAGTCTGCCTTTAGGCATTTTCTCTAATATGGTCCTTTCATCATCCATGTCTGGTAGTTTCTGCGGGCAGGCAGGACCGGGTCTGTCGGATACACGCACTCCGTCCCATGGGGATGGCGTTCGTGTTGGGCTGAACCTATAACAATTAGATGAATAAATAATTAACTTCACAGTATTTAAGACCATGGTTTCGGATATTCTTATACGAAGAAGGAATAGCTATTGATCAAGATGATTTGAGAATTAAAAAAAAACGATAAAATAACTATAATTCGGGAACATACATTAATTCGTAAGTACGTATCGTTGTAAGTAAAAAAGTATTTACTTAATAACAGCTTTATGATTAACGTCTATAGTGCCTAATATAAAGTATTTTATGTTAATTTCGCAGTCATAATAAATGAACTAAATTCAGAACTTGAATTATACAATTTTCATATTTTATACACGTGTATAATAAAAGTAATAAAACTGTTATAATTATGATGAAAATCAGAGACGTCAAAAACTTAATACGTAAAATATAATAAGACTTACCATATTCTTGACAGCGTAGTCTGAAGTTCAATTAGATGTAAATATAAAGAAAATACAAAAAATGTAATTGAAACTGCTACTGGGACATAATGTACTATATTAGTTATTAGTTTTGAACTGTACTGTATTATATAGAACTATAGAGATCATTTTCATCATCAAATATTTCAAATCCCTTTAACTACTAGCGACAACGAACGCAATAAAGCAAGCTAATCATATAAAGAATCATAAAAACTACAGCCAATAAGTCAACAAAAATTAAGAATATTTTGAAATAAGAAAGTAATAATTTTAAAACATTGGATTATATTTCTTACGTTACTTGTAGATACTGTCACTATTATTGTTCTAAATAGCAAATGGGACTAATAAAATAACAGGCTACAAGTGGATGTACAAGATGACAAGTACCTCTCAACTTGCTCCTTCGGGGAATTCTGTTACATTCATTTTAAGTCAGCTACGTGAAGATAAAAGTAAAATAACTCATGTCTTCATTATCATACCGTAATATGAAAATACAATTTTCACACTACAGCATCGGAGTAAATTAAAACAAATTGAGCTAGTAGATATAAGAACATGGTTCCCATTTAAAATCCTGAGGTAGTTGCTCGGCCATTAAAGTAATTATCTCTATTAACTTCAGACGATGCTAAAAACACAACACCAATATTTACTTTACTTCTTTTTGTATTAAAATGTAGTTGTTTTAATGTGTTTTTGTACTTAATATTAAATTTTGTTTATACCGAATATATGTGAGACGTATTATACAATACAACCACTTTTAAATAAAGTTAAAAAACGGTAGGTATTTGGCTTTGAAACCCACTAACATAAACCTAAATAACGAAACTAAGTATAAAAGTGGCCATTAGCAAAATCGTAAATATCTTACACTACATTTAAGTAAAACTTTTTTGCCTAATAAAGCATCGTTTCAGAAACTGCGCATTAAATTGAATATTTAAAAAGGTAAAAGATCTGAAATTATCTCACCTGTTGGATCCAACTGGCGGTGTAGCGTACGGTACGCCCAAAAAAACCTCAAGCGGACTCAAATATCTGTGCTCGTCCATAGCCAAAACTATCCCCTGTAATTTTCCATATTTAGTCTGAACTATCCTACTACTTATTTTAAACTTAAAGTTAGACTTGGGGACTGGATGCGAAGGATTTAGATAGAACTTTTTATAGTCTTCATAATTACTATACGCATTATTTTCACTATTGTAAAATTTAGTATTCAAATGTAGAAAATTTTCACTATTGTAGTAGGGGTTAGTATCGAAATTGACGTCTGCATGTGAGGGGTCTCGATCTTCATAGTTTTCGTCGGGAGCATCGTTCTGTTTCGTATTGAAGTACTTTACACCTTTATCATTGAAATGTTTGTTCATATTTGTAGTGTTAGAATTAACTGTATCAGCAGAGAGACATGTCACGACAAGTATGAAGTAGATATTGAAGAACACTAGTTGTTGGGTGGGGTATTTAATGTGTGCAGATAACGGGACATGGTTAAACATGCTCGAACCGCAGTGTCTAGTCCTCGCGTTACTGCTTTTATTTATCATATTTCGTCATGTTATCATTTTGATGCGATTGAAGTCACGATCAACTGGTTTTCGCTCTCCAACTGTTGAAATGACATCTGCAACAAAGGAAAACACCATTAAAGTTTTTTTTTTTAAACATTGCCCCACCCTAGGATTTTCTCCTGTGTCGTGGGTGCATTTACAAACATACAAGTTCACATACACAATAACACCCAGACCCGAAACAACAATTTGTGGGTCACACAAAGTGTTGTTCCGTGCGGGAATCGAACCCGCGACACGTTGCACGGCAGCCGGTTGCCCAGTCACCACACCAACCGTGCAGTCAGAAGTTGATCCAATAGTAATTATAGTACTAGTATTGGATGATTCACAATTAATAAACTTTATAAACATTTGTACATTTCAAATTCGTCTTCAAAATAAATATGTTTTCGTTAAACTTCAGAATAATTATCTTCTATCAAATGAATAGGAATTCCGTCGAATAAATACTTATTTGTTTCAGGTTACTGATTACTTTTGAACTGGCAAGACTTTATAACAAGGATCCCTGATTAGTTTTGAACTCACAAAGTCAAAACTAGTTATGTTGTAAAATATTTAATTACACTCAGAGCTGAAATTGTAAACATTAATTAATAGAATTGTTGTCGCTTTGTAACGTTAGTTGTAGTCAAAACAACTTTGTAGAACATTATTTCTGCTTTAGACTTTAATATTATTTTAGCCTACTTGTAATATTATATAATATTAAGATTTATGACTTTTGATGAAGCGAAAGAGGTATATAGGAATCGTAGTAATCGGCGTTCTATAGTTTCTGCCTATCCCCATGGTATTAAATTTGTAAAATGGTTTTAGCTACAGTTTTAAACTTAGTAACCTTAATCAGAGATAATATTTTAATATCACTTCATGCCAATTACATGGTAATTGATACTCATAACATAGTGAAAAATGAGTGTTACATTGTACAGCGGCATTAAATACCGTAATGTGCACCTAAAATCTATTTTAGGCATGTATTTTATGAGTATCATAAAATATAATTATAGAAACTTTAGTAACGATAACAATTTTAAGTTTCTTGCTAAATATTACCTACATTTTATTCTGGAAAATTAGTCCAAAAAAAGGCGAAATTATTATTCTGTATACATTCTAACATTCTATAATACTAAACATTCCACAAAAGACTGCCATGTTTAAAAATATAATAAAGTTTTATTTTATTGTTTATTGCAACGTAGTTTTGGTCAGATTTTATTTGATGGAGTGCCATTACTACCCAGGCACGACATCTATACTCAGATAAAATAGCCAGCAAACAATTTTTCAGGCGCTTTGTGGCAAAAGGATCCAAATGTTCTTAAAATGCAATTTTTAAAGTTCAATCCAAGCGATATATTTGAATTAAGTTGTGATAGGTTATAATAAATTCGCTTTGTAATTTAGTGTTAATATGTTTTGAATATTAATGGCAAAGTGAATTCTGAGAACACGCTAAACGTGTTTTGTCTGTAATGAAAAAGGTTAATTAACATAATATAACATAACATCACACCTTTTATCAGAAGGTGTAGGCAGAGGTGCACATTATGCCACTGTACAATGTTAAACCCACTTTTCACTATGTATATTACAAGTCCCATGTAATAGGGGGTGAGCCTATATATACTGGGCACAATTCCAGACTCCGTGCTACTACTGCCTACTGAGATTTTTTTTAAAACCCAATAAATACTTTGCCCGACCAGGGAATCGAACCCGAGACCACTTGCCCATCAGTCGCACTTGCAATCACTCGGCCAATGAGGCAGTCTCAGGCAGTTAATTAACACTAACAAATAGCTTCACTTTTAACTCGTCGAGTACCGGTTTTATAGACACAATTAAAGAACAATAGGTCGCGGTCACCGGTGACCGCTTGGTGTTTGACAGTTTAATTTTTGTTTTTGTTGACGTTCAAAAGTGCCATTCTGGCCTAATTGAAATAAATGATTTTGACTTTGACTTTGACATCTTTTGTAGATTATTTTTGTGATGAAGTCTTTGATTTTTTTTCTTTTATTCAAGTTTTCATTGCTATTCTTAGTCAAAACGAACCAATAATAACTCGATTAAACAGAAGATTCTAATGAAAACAGAATTATGCATAGCGTTCATCGACGCGTGTCAGAGAGACCTATTTATTCGACCTATTTACTTAATGTGTCAGCCTTTGCATAAACTTTTGTTGTATTAGAACTAAGTTCGTGGTTGCGAAGACAGTACAAACAGTTCAATTTGAAGCAACGAATCATAATTTGAATTTAATTTGCTCTGTAAAGATTGTGGATTATATGGCTATACGTTTGACTATGTATCTTGAACCATTCTAGTGCTTGTATGAGGCTAAGAACATGATAAACAAGATGAATCAAAACCACTGAAAAGATCGGGATTAAATTTGAAACAGCGGGAGAAAATTTAGCCGCTGGCAAGCTAGTGCTAGCAGAAAGCTAGTGGGTTATAAAGAACTTCTCAACTTAACCCTTCGAGTACTTCGGTGTTTGACAGTTTAATATGAGAAAAACACAGTCATCGTGCTGTTTTCCTATGCCTAAAATAAATTCTTCCATCATAAACAAAAAAAACCCCAGCCAAACAATAGCAGTATCGAACAAAGAATACAAATATAACAACATTTCCTTGTCAAAAGGCAAAGCCCAATTTAATGAATCGGTAGGCAATTCAACCATGTACATTGTGGGCCTACAATGGCCCGTGATCGTTCTAACCGCAGGCCTATCATCGGAGTATCGGATGAAAGTACCTCTACCGAGTTCGGATCTAAAATAAATTGATTTCGATATTGAATTTGAGTTAAATTGGCCGAGACCACGGCCAGCCTCAATGTTTCCAGTTTAATGTCGCAAAATATTTCGTGAATGGAGGTTTGTTTGTTATTGTTATAGTAGGTCAAACTAGTTTGTTTTGGTTGATAGTTAGTAACGCGTTTAAAGGACTAGCTACATAAATATAAGGGTCCATGGTATAAACACCGTCGTAAGTATTTAAAATATTACTCTTAATATCTTGTAAAACAGTCTTTAAATTTTTTCTTAATAAAATATATCGATTTGTTAACAACAAATTGACTAGTTAAAAACAAAAATAATATTGAAAGGCAATGAAATAATTCAATATTGCAGCTTCCACCACCACAAACTGAGGCCGTAGTCGTAACTATACAAGATAGACTCACGCTATTACTCCAAAAAAACCCAGTATAAACAGGCTCTGCAGAACCCAGTATTTACATATACTGGGAGGTCAGGTAAAAGTAGACACATATTCCATAGTCCCACGTGTCGTTCGCCGTACATTCTTAATGTTAAGGTCAAGCTTTTAGTTCGGCGGTTTTGTAGAAGTCAGGGTTTATTTTGTTCGGTAGGGTTTTCACCTTGATTCTAATTTGAACTGAGAGAAAGTTCAACTTAGGAAGGTTTCAGTTCAGTGAACGTTGTCTGCATAATATGTATAAGACAGTTTATTACTTATTGAAATGATATATAATGTTATTTTGTTTTCAATTTTAGTTATGTTTCTATGTATTTTTAAAATTAGAAGCTATTATTTTATAATAGATATCGTGAGACATACTAAATTAACTGAAATTGTGGGTTAATCACTCGTGAATATATTGAGAAAAGCTCTAATTGTTTTGAACTACACAAGGGTTCTTTCTCATGAGCAGCGTGCGCTGTCGTGGCGATATCGCGCAACTCACTGATCGACACGACGTCGCCGCGACCGCGCACTCACATAAGCACATAACTTTTCTCAGTATATTCACGTGAGTAACCCGCGATTTTAGTTAAATTAGTATGTCTCACGATAGTCTATAGCTCTATCGAATAGTAATAATTATCTTGATTTATGAGAACAATTAAAAATAGAGCAGAATTTTACCCAAAGCCCTCTCTAAACTCATAAGGGTCCAATAATAAACTGCGGAGCAAATGTGTATGTACCACAAGTACACCTCACCCTTTGGGAAATAACAGGCATTGTGTTTGATGTTTATTAGACGCCATCGCCGGCGTATGGCGTAGTGTCGCGGTTTTGCCTGCTTGCTGTCGCCATCTCAATCCCATGGCATGACTTATGCGGTCGCTGGGGTGGCGGGGGCGGTAGGATGCTCCAATTTCACTTTGTTTTTTGTTTTACGTTTTTTTAATTTCCTTTTTTGTTGTTATTATATATGTGTTTTGTTTTGTGCATTTTATTTTGTGTTTTTATCCGATTGGTGTCTTGTTCGTCCGCGAGTCACTTAAGGGGCCAGTAGAATACCAGCGCGAGGCCCTGTCTTGCACATGCTGAACTGGTCCCATTTCACCGCAGACTTGGGACATTAGTAGATGTACTTATGTGTAAAATGTCTAAAATCTGTACGTGTCACTTGTTTTAGCGTGTGAAATAAAGTTTTTCTTTCTTTCTTTTTCTTTCTTTCTTTCTTTCCATTTTATTAAGCAACTGGATATGAATAGGTCGGTTTTTTTAAATAAACTCCCTTTTAAATGTTTATTCGTCGTTATTTTAAGACAATCTCGAATGAAAGGAAATTAGCCCTTTGTAGTCCCCACCCTACAATCTTTTCATCTTATAACCACAAAATTTTTAGGCTTGATAACATTCACAAAAACCTTCAGCTCTAATCGCGTCTTCAATTATAAAAGTTCTTTGCAAAAGCAACAAACAGTATCCTCATTCTCTATTAAAAATAATAAAACAACCAACAAACAACCCCTTTTAATGTTGCCAGCGAAAAAAATTCAAAACATGTTTATTACGTCAAACAACCGGTCATTTCCCATTTTATCCCGCGAAAATGTTACCTAAAATAGGGCGTAATAATTCAAAGTAATATATACGCTAAAGCGAAAAAAAAACGAATCGACGAAAATCCTTCCCTACCATTTACCCCTACCAATGAACGGTACAAAACAATACAACGAAACCATTCCAAAAAA